ATAGATAGATAGATAGATAGATAGATAGATAGATAGATAGATAGATAGATAGATAGATAGATAGATAGATAGATAGATAGATAGATAGATAGATAGATAGATAGATAGATAGATAGATACTGTACAATTGCGCTCATTTCACATGCTAGCAAGGTTATGCTCAAAATCCTACAAGGTAGGCTTCAGCAGTATGTGGACCAAGAACTCCCAGAAGTACAAGATGGATTTTGAAGGGGCAGAGAAACTAGAGACCAAATTGCTAACATGCGTTGGTTTATGGAGAAAGCTAGAGAGTTTCAGAAAAACATCTACTTCTGCTTCATTGACTAAGCAAAAGCCTTTGACTGTGTGGACCACAGCAAACTATGGCATGCCCTTAAAGAAATGGGATTGCCTGACCACCTCATCTATCTCCTGAGAAATCTATAAGTGGGACAGAAAGCAACAGTTAGAACTGGATATGGAACAACTGATTGGTTCAAAATTGGGAAAGGAGTACGATAAGGCTGTATACTGTCTCTCTGCTTATTTAGCTTATATGCAGAATGCATAATACCAAAGGCAGGACTGGATGAATCCCAAGCCAGAATTAAGATTGCCGGAAGAAATATCAACAACCTCAGCTCATTACCCCCAAGGATTTTCACTTTTACCCCATTTGGGGTAATTTACCCCTGTTTCCAACCCATGCTCTAATACTTTGGCCATCTAATGAGAACAGAAGACTGTTAGTGTTAGTGAGGTTTCCTGCTTTCACACCATCCAATTTTTTAAATTTATTTTTATTTATTTTATTAAATTTCTGCCCCACCCATCTAGTGGCCAATCTCTACTCTGGGTGGCATTACAAACAAAAATCAATATCCTCACAAAAACACTAGTAAGAATAATTACAATGGCATACTACAATTCAAAGCAAGCCTGTTTAGCCTTATCCAGCTTGAGATAAGGCTGTCTAGTTCCTCCTAAATTGGTCTAGGCAGAGATAATCCTGAGACCTCCCTGGATACAGAGTGAGGCTTTGGATTCAGTGGATCCAAGGACACTCCAGGCTGCCTGTGCTCCAATTCCAGAACGACCATTTCAGGTCTTTCCACTGCCTATCACTGGCTAAAACTCCACGGGTGGCAGATTTCTTTACTTGTAGAACTCTCTGTGGATTAAAATGGGGAGCCTGGGGGAGGGCACTCTCCCCTTTACTGGACCTGCTCTGGACAGGAAGGATCTCACCTATCTCTACCCCACTTGGACAGCCACCTGAGGTGGTTGGGAATGTTCTGTTATTTATCAGAGGGCAAACAAAATGTTTATGCATAACAGACACCCACAATGTATTTTCTGTTAACTTTTTTTTTTGAAAGTTTTAAAATGACATTTATAGCATAGCATCCTCTGGATCTTTTTCTGTTGAATGCATCCATTACACTGTGCCGTGCTGTTGTGCACTCATTCCACAATTTATTCAGATAAGCTGCCAAGTCCCTGCTGATTTTAATATATTGAAAAAGTGCACACTTATTACCAACAACTAAAGGACATTGTCTTAGCACATGTGTTCCACAAATACAATAAAAATGAATGCATGCTTTTTTTAAAAACACACACACATATCTCTGGTTTTGGTTTTGTCATGATTATTAAACAAATGTGAAGTAAAATAGCTTTCATATGAAAATCAGAGGAAAATAGAAATGTTGAAATGAAAGTAGGGAGATTATATTCCCCAAACAGTAAATAACAGTAACTTCTTTCTGGTAGAATATTTTATGTATTTATTTTGGGCAGAATCCAGTTGATGAAACACAGAATGTTATATTTCATGGGGTTAGTGAACATACATCTCAGTCTGTAGCTCTCAGCGCCCCCTGACCTGGCTGAGTTAATGTGCCAGAGAAGGGTATAGTTTATTTGACAGCCTTGAAAAGGAAGTGAAAAAGCAGACCCTGGTCATTGCACAAGGGAAACAGAAGCAGGCTGTTAAAAGGAGCAGGTGAAAGGTGTTAGAATACAAGGCTGAACCATATATCAGAGTCCTACCAGTTCATCAGTCTAAGGAAAGAACAGCAAGAAGAAAAGTCAGAGGATGGCTAAGGTGTTGAGATAAAGCAACACGCTGAGGAAACCTGAACTTCTCAGCAACTGGCTTTCTTGTGCAGTTCCTGCTGAAGAACTTTCATACATGCAATTGCTCAGGAAAACCCTTCACCTGAGGGTCCTCCATCAGACCTTTGCACTGAAGTCTAAGTTCAAGATAGCCAACTCTAACTAGCTGTTAGACTTGGCTATCTTGAACTTAGACTTAGTACTTTTCAGAGGTTTTCTCTGAAATCTTTTGCTCTGGAGGGGTTAGATTCTCTCTGGGCGGTCCAAGCTTGGCCTCAGCCACTTGGGTCACTAGAGAGTGGCACCCAACCTGGTAGCTCAAGCATTCCTTCAACGCAGACTTTTCCAGCTGAGGCACATCATCCTGGATGAGTTCAGGGGAAGACACCTCTGGGAAGAGGATGATAATACCCCCTTCCACAAATGTGGGAAAAGAGTGACTGTGTTCACAAGAGACTGTTGCATACATGGCAAAAACAACCAGAATTCTGTCCTTAGTAACTATATAGTGCAGATGACTAACTTGCAAGTGTAAAATCATAGGGTTTTCAAATAAATTAATCAAGAATTGATGAAAGATTTGACATTGGTTATAGCCTAGGACAGAGATTTGTAAACATTTATCCGGACAGTAAATTGTGCTTTACATATGCCTGAACATAATAATACTAAATGTGATTTCTGATTGTTTAATAAGAATATGTATTTCTCTCTGCATATACTTCCAGCTTTTTTGGGGGGGGTGTTCCTCTTCAGACATACATATTATTTTACAGGGTGAGCAGGCATGGAGGCAGGTTATTTTTATGGCTGGCATTTCCCCTCTTGGCACCACCTACAGATGGCCCATTGTATGATCTTCATTTATCTTGACTTTCTGCCACAGTTGGCTTTATTGTTAGCAGAAGCCAGCCTTGTTCTTTGTGAAGGAGTGAATGTGAAAGCTTTTCCATTTGCTGATTATTGTAGTTTGCCCAGCACCACTGTGCCTTGGGAAAGCCTTTTCCTGAAGGAACAACTGGGGTCCTTTACAACTGTCATTTGTAAAGCAAAGCATTTCTGACATTGGAAGCAAGTTACCTTTGCATAGATGCAGCTTTCGTTGAGTTTTTGCAGAGTGCAATTCTTCTCACACATTGGGCACATGATGGTGTCATTTGCCTCACAGATCTCTTTGCTGCAGCAGGAAATCAAGGTGGAATGGTTATTCCTAGTCAGTATAATGTTTGTGATATTAATGAGTATAGACAACATAGGCTGCATCACTTTCAGTTTTTGTGACACTGTCTTTACATCTGAGGAACTGCATCTAAACGAAGTTTGCTGCAGGCAAGATACTGAATATGGAAGTCCACTGACGATTTTCAGTGTCAGTAAAATGCTTGCTCCCTAAGCTGCTTTTGGTCCTTTCTAGGAGAAAGGCAAGGTAAAAATCAAATGAGTATAGACAACATAGGCTGCATCACTTTCAGTTTTTGTGACACTGTCTTTACATCTGAGGAACTGCATCTAAACGAAGTTTGCTGCAGGCAAGATACTGAATATGGAAGTCCACTGACGATTTTCAGTGTCAGTAAAATGCTTGCTCCCTAAGCTGCTTTTGGTCCTTTCTAGGAGAAAGGCAGGGTAAAAATCAGATGACATAAAATCAAATGTAATAAAATCAATTGTAACTGGAATAAATTCTGGGCTTCTTTGTGAAAACTTTTATTGAAAGACAGCACTTCAGAGAAAAGGTTAATAGCTAATTAAGTAGTCTGCCTTCCTGAATAGTGGCTTGTAGAGCAAGCCGAGTGACGAGTGTTTCAAGGTGATCAATTTGACATCCTCCCACCTGCTTAGACTATGAGATACATACAACATTGTATATCTGGACTAGACAGCTGCCACAAGAAATGTGATGGTGTCCATAGGATTCATTTCCGTATTATATCCATTTATTCATTAATTTGGAAGATTTTTATGCCACCTTTCTCAGCATGTTAGAACAGTGGGAGAACCATACAGTATGGGCAGCAAGTTTCATTCCACTCCATCCTCAAGGCTGTTTCTCTAAGCCTTGCTCCCTACGTGCCTTCTACAGACACCCTCCCCTCTCTGATGAAAATAAAATTTGGTTGCAAAACAAGTATTGCCACTCTCAGAAATTTCTTGAATGGCTTTAATAAAAGAAGGAGAAGTTGCTCACAGCCTGAGAACCAAATCCAGTTTCAGAGAGGCTCCCACAGGGGCAAAAGGTAAAAGAGTGAGAACCCAGATATCAAACTGTTTTGATTCAAAGCTCCTATAATAAGTAACTAAGCTGAAGAAGTGACATAACTAAGTTTTAGAATGGAAAAAAAATCTGTACAATGCATAGCTGGAAACCTGGCAGATAATGGTGTTACAAGGAAGGAAGTAGAGTCCTCTGAAGAAGGGACTCAAAAGGGTAGAACTTGGCTTCAGGGTCTGAGATGCCCCATCTCTATTTTAGTCAATGTGCATGGCATACTGGTGTGTGTGTGTGTTTTTCTTTTAAACAAATCCATGTGAACTTCCAGGTACTTCACGTTTTGGGCTGTAGTGAGTCCTGGGTGGGATGGAGGAGAGTTTCGCTTTTAAAACTGTAGACCTTGCACCACCCCAGCATTAAAACAAGAGGTGTTTATTGGCCTTGCCATGATCCACTTCCCAAATAAAGGCACACATATTGGTGCCTGCTTTTTGCCCTTTTGGAGACATTCTGACCTGATCCTTGCCTGGTTTCCATGGTGTTATCTGTCTTTTTCTCATTTTCTGTGAAAAAAAAAATCTATTCTCATAAATGGGGAAATGAAAATGACAAGACCAGTTCATTTGTAGACTGAATGGTTGAGGCAGAATAAAAGGGTTCCTGTTCAGGGCTGTGGCAACGGTGCAGCTGGGCACTTTGTTTTTATTTATTTATTTTTTTACAGCTGCCAGAATAAAGTTCTGAGCCATTTTGTAAGGCAGCTACAGGGAAATGAGTGAGGCAGGGGCCTTAAAAGAGCCATAAGAACATCGTCCTTTGATCATTTCTTAAATGGGGCAATGCTGGAATCTCCTCTTCTCCACACTTTCTGTCCTCTCTCTTTCATTCATCCTTCCTTGTCCCTGGATCTGAAAATAATGGTGCTGCAACCACAGTTTAAACTGTGGTAATTTAATCAATGACTGGAAAAAATGAAGATTGATTAAAAAAAAAAAGAAAAGAAAAAGAAAAGTAGACTATGCTTCTCTAGTGCCACTAACTGACTATATGCCTTAGTTTTTCTTTCTCTTTTCCAATTTCTAATAATGGCATGCAAATGCTTTATTTAACATGAAGGATCCATTATTTCCTCTGGGCTCTATCCAATATACAGTGGAGTCTCGACTTACGGTCAGCTCCACTTACATACTTTTCGACCTACGTACTTCTCCGGCTGCATATTTTCACTTTGACTTGCGGCCGGAGAATCGACCTACGGACCAGAAGGGGGAGGCGGGGAAAGCTTGGCGCTTTCCCCCCCCCCCCCTTCCAGCCGTAGGCCATAGGTCGTACCTCCAGATGCCTTCCAGGGCTTCTCTGCCATCATGGGAGGCACCTCGGAGTTCCCCCCTACTGCCGATAGTGCTTTGGAGCCACTATCGGTGGCGGAGGGGGACCTCTGAGATGCCTCCCATGGCAGCGGAGAAGCCCTGGAAGGCATCTTGAGGTCGCCTGCCGCCGCTGCTGCTGGCAGCTGCGCCGCACCGGGCGATCCCAGCCATGCTCAGACTCCTGGACTGTCCAGGAGTCTGAGCATGGCTGCAATCACCCAGCATGGCACTGCTCCTAGCAGCGGCGACAGCCCTCCGGATGCCTTCCCCGCCACCATGGGAGGCCTCTTGGAGGTCCCCCCGCTGCCGATAGTGCTTTGGAGGCACTACCGGTGGCGTGGGGGGGACCTCCAAGAGGCCTCCCATGGTGGCGGGGAAGGCATCCGGAGGTCCCCCGCCAAGCCACTCTGCGCTCGCTGCCGGCTTTTTGAGCAGCTCCACCCCCATTGCTCGCTTTCGGCTTCCCGAGCTTCACAACTCCCTTCTCCATCCCTGTCTCCTGTCCCTGGTGCCCTGTGCCTTCTGTCCCTGTGAGGGGTTTTGAAGCCAGAGGGGTTTTGAAGCCTGGAAAGCCAAAAGCTGGTTGCGGGGGTGGAGCAGCTCAGAAAGCCAGCAGCGGGTGTGGAGTGGATTTCGTCTTCCCGGGCTTCCAAAGCTGCACCCGCTGCCCTCTGCCTTCTGTCCACATAGGGACAGAAGGCAGAGGGCCCCAGGGAGGGGAGCTTTGGAAGCCCAGGATTTTTTTTCTTTGCCTCAAACAGATTAAATGGTTTTCAATGCATTCCTATGGGAAATGGATCCTCGACCTACGGACTTTTCGACCTGCAGCCACTGTTCCAATACGGATTAATTCCATAAGTCGAGGATCCACTGTATCCCAGCTCAGCTTGTATTTATGCTCCTGCCTGAAGGCAGCAGACATCCCTAATCAGAACAAACAGGAGTTCAGTACTTCTTCCCTTCCCTTCCTCTCCTGCTACTGTTTTTCCAGATCTCCCAACAGAAAGAGCCATTGTGCCAGGGCATCACATCTTACAGTTTTTAATGGGGAGCTGTTGGAGACATGGATATGTTGCCAAGGAAACAGAATAGCGTATCTTCTTTCTTTTAAAACCACTGTCCAGTTGCCAGAACAATGCTTGCAGTATCATTACTTGTGGACACAAAACCGGACCTTTTAAAAATGACTGCTTTTGGGGCAAGTGTTCTCAGAATCTCTCAGCCAGCAGCATGACCCTGGATTCTTGGATGCATAGATTATAAAAGCCACTTTGGTAAGTTCTACACAAAACTGAGGTCATCTCTGCTGATGCTGAGAAGGAGAAAAATATGTCCTATCCTGAACAATGGGTTTTGTGTTGATCCTCTCATTTACTGAAAGTGGATTAGACACTTCAAGTTTGAAGTTCTGCTTTAGTTAGAAGATGCCAGAATGGGAAATGAACATGTTGATGTTTGTCTCCTCTCTATATGATGGGACATTCTGGGACATTTGTTCCAACTGTGCAGGGATCTCAATGAAAAGATATCTGATTTCTTCCATGAGCGTGCAGGCACTTGGAACAAGGACCACTAGATGGAGCATCATGAACCAATTTATATGCATGGTATGCAAACAAAGCTCAAATATGGGTTGTTCCTGCCTACTAGCCATGCCTGTTACTGTTTTACAGAACAAAACATGTACAAGACTTATCTTTCCTTTTAAAGCAACCACTATCTAGTGTAATACATGATAATTTTGGCTTATTTTAGACAACAAGGGAACACCCAGCCAAACCCATTTCACAAACAGCCTGTTTCAGTTTAATCTCTAACTTTATTTATTTGGTATATTGTTGGTAAATACGGGTCTGAATTATGTTATTGGACTGCATCTTCTGTCAGCCCTAGTCAAGTTAGCTAATGTTGAGAGATCCTAGGAGAAGCAGCCCAAAAACACTGTGAATGGAGGAATATGTTTCTTACACCTGACCTAGAAACTAGGTCTGAAATCCCAGAGTAGAAACCATAATCTGAAACATACGTGACCTTAATGTTGAAACTTCAGAAACACTTCATTGCTATTTGACTGTGAATGTTAATTATACCTGAATTACTTATCTGCCATTCTTTATTAATGCAAGCTGTACTGTGCAGATACAATTTTTGCAGTCAAATTCATCACAAACCACAAGAGGGAAGACTCACTTTATTTAAGTGGCAGACTGTTACATAACTCTAAGAACTGTTCTACAGATCTGCAAAGAATGGTCTTTTTCTCCACCCCACCGCACGCTGGCAAAACCAGCATTAATGACAAAAAGCGACAGATGACAGAAAGTGTCAAAGTATGGTCAGAATGAAGTAGAGTCAGCAAGACAAAGTGTTATGTGTAAAGAAGGAAATATTTTGGGATTTACAGCTTCTTCCTGCCTGAGAATCATCAACTGGAAACAAAATATCCATCCCCTCATCAAGTTTATCTGACATGTAGTTTTATATACAATGGTGCCTTGAATAGCGATGTTAATGCGTTCCGCAAAAAACATCGCTATTTGATTTCTTCGCTATTCAAAACGTGCTTTCCCACTGAAATGCATTGAAAGCCGGCTAATCCGTTCCAATAGGAACGGATTGCCGTCGCTATACAAAAATCTCCAAGGGAAACATCGCTAATCAAAACGCGGTTCCCCCGTTGAAATGCATTGAAACCTATTCAATGCATCTCAATGCGGAAAAAAATTCAACAATAAGAACACAGCCAGCGAGGGAGCGAGGAAGGAGGAGGAAGCTTGCCAGCCAGCCCAGAAAGAACGTTGCGGCCGCCTGCCTGCCCGTCCTTGCCTGTTGGGAATGTGGAAGGAGGCCTGCAAAGAAGTTGCCAATTGTGGGCACTCAGCATCTGAGGAGAATTTCAGAGACACCAGTCTCCATCAGAGCCCAGGACTGCCTGGAGGCTAAAAGTCTGCCTGCCAGCCCCTGCTGTTGGTGTCAAGGCATGTTCCTGGCTGTGACAGAAAACTGGTGAGTCCTTTGCGACAGGGCTAATGAGGCTTCTTTGACAAGCAAGGGAAAGGGTGCTTTGATCACAAATGGTCTGCTTTAACAATAGAACTACTAAGTTCCTTTTTTATTTTTAGGGTAGTACTTTGCCACTCTTAATAACTCCTGTCAGTATGCCTAGTGGCGCTTGCCGCCGGCCTGGGGATGAGCGCCCACCGCCGCCTCCTCAGAGGAAGAGGAGGAGGTGGAGCGGGAGACGGGGAGCCAGGCGCACGGCTGCGCCAGGGCCCTTTCCCTTCCCCCGCCACCGCCACCGCCCCAACCATCACTAACCGAAAATCGCCCATAGGGGCCATCGCTAATCAAAGCGTAAAAATGCCCCCCAAAACTCCTCGCTATTTGATTTCCTCACTATTCGAGGCACTCGCTATTTGAGGCACCACTGTGTGTGTGTGTGTGTGTGTGTGTATACGCACACACAAACACACGCACCACACAGTGAAGAAGCAGCTTCACACCGCACATGCCCAGAAATCAATGATTTGACCCTCTCAGCCTCTTCATTGGAAGAAAGAGAAAGATAAATCCTTGTCATTAGATTCTTTTTTTTTTTTACCTGAGAAATCTCATTAAAATTTTAAGGAGTTATCAAATCTTTTTAGTTCTGGAAGTAATGCCAAGCTGCACAGGATTTTAACAATTTCTGCAGAGGATGGTATCCTTCCTGAGGAGGATTGTTACAATTCCTGCACAGAATGGCATCTTTCCTGCACAGATGTCACTGGAAAGGACATGCAACTGCAAAGAATTTGGCAGTTTCTTTCACAGTATGGCAACAAGGTGTGTGAGGGGGTGGGCAGGGAATGATACTCAAGTCGTATTTTTGCATAAAGCCAGGAATTCTTACTAATACAAGGAGAAGTTGTGACAGGATGTCTCAGTATGGTAAAATTTAGAAAATCACAGAGAATGAGAAACTTTTTGAGAACTTATCATATTCCTACCCGAGGCACATTTTATTAGGTATATGTCTCAAACATTGTCCTTTATACTTAAAATAGACTCCTGATAAGCTCAATTGTAGTATGATCTAGTTTCAAGTAAATTTATGATAGTGCTAACAAACCATATATTACCTGAGAGAAGAGTTTTTTTAAATGGATCGTTCTGCTCTGTTGTTTTAAAACGTGTTTTAGTATTTATTTTATCTAGCATTTTTATTATAATACTTGTTTTAATTCTTTTAAAATATTTGCATACTTACTGTTTTTAGCCTTAAATATTGTTTTTAACAATCTAAGCAGCCTTGGATCCTTTTGAGGAGAAAAGGTATAAATAAATAAATAAATAAATAAATAAATAAATAAATAAATAAATAAATAAATAAATAAATAAATAAATAAATAAATAAATAAATAAAAGAGATAAAGCTATGATGCATATAGTTGCTAATTTTCCAGTTATGAGAATTAGCAGCTTCAGGATCCACTAGTTTTATCATAGCTTGTATTGAACTGTGATAAATTAATAGCTATGTCTGGAGGGAATGCTAGTTTGTCAAACTGACATAATGTCTTGCTGCATAATGAACTGCCAGAACAATCATTGTATTCTTTGGCACTGGGGGTTGATGAGGGTCAAAGCAATGTCATCAATGTATTCTGCAGATGGACATTGCAATTTCAGAGTGCAATGGCTGCAGAATGCTGAATCAATTAAAACCCTGTAAATAATTGCCTCCTATTCCTTTTCCAGCTACTCTTGTTATAAAGAGGCTTTGAAAGATGTTAAAGTGATCCTTGAATCACAGAACCCAAAGCAAGACAGGAGGACTTACACATTTGTTTATCTGCATACTAAACCGAACAAGGTTTTTGCTTTGTCTTGCTAGGATATTTAATCTGTTATTCCGCTGAGTAGTATTTTCCTCAGCTGGACATGTGCATGGAAAAGGTTGGGAAATATCATTCAAATTATGTGGAATGTTTCCAGGCTTCTGTGTTACAAAATCTCTGGTTGAAACTACAAGAAATTCTGGCTTTCATATTCAGATAAAAATGGTACAGCTTAGTCTACTTCAGTGGTTTCCCAGTACTGGGTCTGCTGATGTTCGTTTATGAAAACTCCTAGAAGCCTTCACCACTAGTTGTGCTAGCCAGGATTTCTGGGAGTTGCAGTCCAAGAAGATACAGGCCCCTAAAGTTTGGAAACACTGGTGTATAAATTTAGGTGTTGAAATAAGTGATGGGTTCAACTGCCTCAGGTTCCTATTTAGCTGAATATTAAAATATTTTTGTAGGTTTAGCAAGTGATTGTTCAAAATGGGGTCCCACTGTGGTATGATTATTGATCAGTTATGATTACTAATCATCATAGTGCACATGCATGGTGTCAGCAACCAAAATATCCTTAAAACATTGTGTATGCAAGCAAGTATCTTTTCCGTTATCTTTTCTCTTGGAAACAGCTGCAATTAAACTGGTTTCTATCAATGGGGCTACTTCCTGATGAAGCATCTGTGTGTTAGACCTCCAGTACAAAAGGTAGTAGCTCTCAGGCACAGAGACCATAGAGGTTGCACATGCATGGTGTCAGCAACCAAAATATCCTTAAAACATTGTGTATGCAAGCAAGTATCTTTTCCGTTATCTTTTCTCTTGGAAACAGCTGCAATTAAACTGGTTTCTATCAATGGGGCTACTTCCTGATGAAGCATCTGTGTGTTAGACCTCCAGTACAAAAGGTAGTAGCTCTCAGGCACAGAATCCATAGAGGCCAAAATCCTGTTGCTTAGTGTAGTAAATTGCAGTAGATTAGGTCCATTGAATCAATGGGAATTTGGTGAGTCATCTATGCTAAAGTAAGTTGCTGTTAGAGTGGATCCATTTGAATCAATGGAAATTATGGAGGTGTTGAATCACCAAATTCCCATTGATTCAATGGGCCTAATCTAGTGCAAATCACACTGGTGCCTCGCTTAACGAGCGCTTCATTTAACAATGAATTCGCTTAACGATGAGTTTTTCGGAGCGTTTTTGCGCTCCGTTTAACGATGGTCCCTATGGGTGATTTTCGCTTAGCGATGTTGGGACTATGCTTTGCATAACGATTACATTTTTGGGTCCCCTGTTTCGCTTAACGATCGTTTACATAGCCTCATGTTTGCTGTTTTTTAAATGTTACAAAGTTAAATTTTACTGTTTAAAATGTTTTAAATCATAAAGTGCACTTAATAAACCCTTTGTTAACCAAATTTGACTTTGTTCTGACTCTTTTTTAATTTGTTGTTGATTTTTTCCCCCCATTGAGATGCATTGAATAGGTTTCAATGCATTTCAATTGGGGAACTGCGTTTCGCTTAGCGATGTTTCCTATGGCGATTTTTGCTTAAGGATGGCAATTCGTTCCTATTGGAACGGATTATCCAGTTTTCAATGCATTTCAATGGGAAACCGCATTTCGCTTAGCGATGTTTTCACTTAGCGATGACTTTTTAGGAACCAATTAAAATCGTTAAGCAAGGCACCACTGTACTAGCAAAGCAATAGAGTTTGGTGAAATAAAAATGGCATATAGAAATTGAACTTTAAAAAAGAATGTATTAAAAATCTTGGCCTGTGAAAAGCATACCCAGAAAGCCAAAGTTAGCCTTGTAATTAATCCAAAAAATGCTCAGACACGAGACTAGAATGGGTTTTCTTTGGCCAATTTGCACTAATCCCATACTGGCAATATTCAAAGAAAAAAAAATCAACATGTTATTTGTATAGGCCTTGACAGCTTTACTCACAGTAACAGAGTATGCAAGTAATCCAGTGTTAGGGTTTTCTAAAACCGGTCATTATTTCACCTCCTTACCTTACTTGGCTAGAATCCATGGTAAATAATCCATAAAGGAAAACAAACAACCCCACAAGTGCAGCAGGAATAAGCATGCCTGTATACCATCCTAGCCAGGCAAAATAAAGACCAATTTTTTCTCCAAAATATCTCCTGTACAAAAAAAGAGTGAAAAGAATAAAGTTGCTATTTGTTGAAATGTTGAAAGTAAATGAATATGCCAGTCATGGGCATAGAACATTCATCTTAAAAACACATCATACTGTCTTATGCTTAAGACTTGGGAAATGTATAGAAATAGTTGTGGTAAAGGTAGAAGGGATCAGGAAAAGAAGAAGACCAAACAAGAGATGGGCTAACTCCCTAAAGGAAGTCACCATTCGGGCACCTCGGACTGCAGGAGCTGAGCATTGTAACCGAGGACGGGACATTTTGGAAATCACTCATTCACAGGGTCACCATAAGTCATAAGCGACTCGATGGTGCATAAAAATTACAAGAATTGTGATAAATTCCTTTTATTTCATTGCACCACACAGTCCTAATCTCACTGATCGCATCCTAGACAATACGTTTTTTCAAACAGTTTTTGTTTTGTAGGGTGCAACTATTTGCTCCTACAGGCAGAACAGGAATAAAAGGATTCTTAGAGCCATGAGGCATAGGTTTGTTAGCCAGCCAGAAACCACAACTGGAAACTGATTTGTTGTTGGCTTGTGGCAACCAAGTAGGACGTGATGGTGCCGCAGGTTAAACCGGAGAAGCCTCTGTGTGCTGCAAGGTCAGAAGACCAGCCGTTGTAAGATTGAATCCATGCAACAGAGTGAGCCTCCGTCGCTTGTCCCAGCTCCTGCCAACCTAGCAGTTTGAAAGCATGTAAAAGTGTGAGTAGATAAATAGGTACCACCTCAGTGGGAAGGTAACAGTGTCCCGGGTCTAGTCATGCTGGCCACGTGACCACGGAAACTGTATACAGACAAACGCTGGCTCTATGGTTTGGAGATGGGGATGAGCACCGTGCCCTAGAATCGGACATGACTGGACTAAATGTCAAGGGGAAACTTTACCTTTACCTGTGACATCTAACTTATTCAATCATGGTTTGATGTTATGTTTTAGCCCAGAATCATGCTTTATCCTTGGCTTGTTTTTCTAGCTGTCCATTTTGAAGACAACAGACAACAAAAGAGGAAAAGAAACTATAATTTATAGGACAATTATGGTCTAAAGCAGCCATTCTCACTGGGGGCCACATGGACCCTGGAGAGGCTAGCACATTTGAAGGGGCCCCCAGATTCATCTGTTCATGTTATATCGTTTGCACACAGGTAAAGGCTTTCCTAGTTTGGCAGGGGATCCTGGGACCTTCTAAAAGAGCCATGACCAAAAAAAGGTTGAGAATGGCTGGTCTAAAGCAGAAAAACATGCCTAACATAAAACATACTTTAGCATGATGCACAAATGTGACCATTGTTTTGAGTACCTAATTAAATCCAGAGGCTGATATTTGTACCACATCCCCCATCGTGCCCAGCGTTCATACAACAGATGCCGATGATTCTGAGCTCCATGAGTTTTGATGGGATGCCTGCTCTTGTGACTTCCCTGCACCAAAGAAATTTTAAAAAATGAAAAAGACACCAAAAGTCATGAAATCTCGAAAACAAATCTCTGCAATGGAAATGGAAATACGAGAAAGTCATGACTATTCTGTCAAAGAACAGTTGGCCCATGTATTGCCGCAAATTGTTGAAAAAACAATTTTGAAGTTACAGTCAAAGCTCATGTTGTTACAAACCTCTCTGTGGAATGGAAATATTCTTTGGAACAAAAACAGAATTACTGTCTCTGGACTATATAAAACTGAAACATTTTCCAGCTGGGAGACTCAGTTAATTTTTAATGCAGATTTATAGAGCACACTTATGGACCAAGTGCATTACAGTGGTTATCTAATTTATCCTCCCAGTAACTCCCAGTTAAAAGTAAAATCCAGAGGTGTAGAGGACAGAGAATCACCTAAAGATGAGCTAGGATTCTATGAAAGGCATTCAAACATAGCACTGCACCTCTCTGCATGTTTATTTGAGGAAAAGTCCAGCTGAAACAAGTGAGATGTACTCAAGAGTTATAGCTAGTAGTGTGCTGACACTGAAGCCCACTGAAGGGTATAAACTGAAGAAGTGAACAAAAAAAGGAACAAATGTCTCCTGTGAACAAATTTGTTCTAATATGACTAAACAGCATTCAGTTTTCTGGATTGCACTTTTCCTCCACTCGTGAACTTTTATTTCATCTGCAAAATGATGTAGTACTGTAGATAGACAAAACTGCAGAACGTTCCAACGTCTTTACATTCACAGGTTTTATGTGTCCTACCTTTTGTGTACCTTGTCTTAAAGTTGTTACTTCCCACTCTCCCCCGCCCCTTTTTTTTGCAGCAATTTTACTCTTTGTACACCCAAAGCACTCCTTTGGATCACAGGTGCCTACTTAACCCTGTTATTAATTTTTAATATATATTTGAATATTAAAACAACATTCTGGTCTGTACACTCATTGTGTGGCATCTCATGGTTGCTTTGTGCTAATGTGAAACACTTGCACATGCAGAAGCCAGAGCACCTTATTTTTCTGGCTCCCCTCTTTGCAATCCCTTGCAATCTTTGAAATGTCACTCCAGAGGGTTATGGACACTTCTGGATTAGTGGAATACTGTGCAGAGAACTGCAGTAGAACAAAACTGTAACAGCCTAGAGTATTTTTTTCATACTAAACATGGAGGGTATAAAATCAATAACAGAAATCTGTTAAACTGGCAACTCTCTCTCTATCTACCTCTTCATACCACCACCAGCACCTGCCTTCAGCAGACCAGTGTGCAGGATAGTGTTATGGCATGTGGACCATGTGGCACCCAACTTCCTCATCCAGTCCTTGTCTTCCTGTGCAATGGTATATTGGGAAAAAGTTGGAGGAGAACATTCTATTGTTTAATGAATCAGCTATGTGGATCTCTCCCTAAATTCCCTATAAATACTTTATATTGCCCATCTGTAAAGGATTATTTTCAACAAGAAGCCGAGTACAGTGAAATCACATGGAAAAGTTACTTTTTTTGGACTTCAGCTCACTGCATATTGCAACTAACTTTGGTATTCTGGGAAATGGTTGAAAAAAGTAAATTGTCACATTTCTGAGTGAAATAATATTTTGTTTCCCACAATGCAGCATGTATGAATTGACTTTTGCTATCCCCATCTCTCCATCTGTGTAAAGCACACAATGACAGCTGAGTTAACAGAATCTCCAGGGTTTCTTTCACAAACCAAGAGCTGAACTGTAAATATAGGGGCTAGGAAAAAAGAACTCATATACAGCATATGGAATCCCAATGGACTGACTATAACAGTAAGGTAACATGACTTTCAGGGAGAGAACATTGATAGTTTATAGGATTCAGCCTGCATGCCACTGCCTGCACACATTGATGTGAACATCTCAAAGGGAGATGATCGCTTTGTAACATAGCTTTGAGTAAACATGCATCAGATGGAGTTATATATCATGCAATGATAAACGTGTATGATAGTCAAAAATTGTGGGATCCAGATCATAACAGGCTGAAATGGGAGCCCTCAGAGAAGATTTACAAAATAGATAAGTAGAAGTACCTGGGAGTAAATTTAAATTTTATTTATAGACTTCAGGAGGTTAAAGCAAATTTAGAATGAACATACCATACTTAAAGCACTACTACTTAAACTACCTCATGAGGTGGAAATGCAGCTTCATAAGTTCCATTGTTGAGTAACCTGTTAATGCCTAAACAGAAAAGAAGACATACATTTACATTAGCAATAATATAAAATTGCTCTGCATATATACTGAAGTAATTTCTTTTAATTTTCTAAACATTCCAAAAGAAATGTCAAACACAATAAATGTTGGTCTCTCATTATGAGAAGAAACACACATAAACTCAAGAATTCACACATTTGTGAGGCATTCAGTGTATGCAAAACAGCACAGCCATTTAAACTGTAAATGGCCAAAGAGCGCATAATTGGGGGGGATGTGCAAACATACATTATTCAATGTGTAAAAGTAGCTTAGACTAGGCAAAATGTCCACATCAGTGTATGCATCAGGAAAGAAGTGGAAATGTACAGTATGCACATGAAGATTTCAGTGCAGGAAAAAAGCTTACAACTCAGTAGAAAAAGAAAACAGTACAAAAAAATTGCAAGGTGGGATTCAGACAAGCACAATAAAATTGAACCTGGAAATTTTGTTGCCCTAGCCTGTTATATAGGACCTGCGTCTGCTAGTCACTTAAGTGGCTGTCAATGGAAGCTTTAAAGCTCATCCTGAACTCTAATAATTAGTAAATGTACCCATGTTTCATGGCTTTTGATATGAGCAAATGACCAGATTTTGCGAGACTAGCGTATAGCTTTTATTTGCTGACAGGAAGGTGCTATTTTAATTTGAAACCTCACAAGTACAGCACAGCATCCACTTTGCACAAAGCCCAAATGGTGAATTGGAGTGAATCACTTCGGAATTTACAGCAATTTACAGTCTGTATATCTTTTTTTCCTTTACATCTGCAAAGACATGTATGGAAATTAATGAAGACTGACAAACAAAGGGCAAAAAGCAACAGTAATGCTATTGCATCAGGAAAGCAATCCAAACTTCATAAGCCTCTCTTGTGAAAATATATTATTTCTGAAAAATGTATTTTGTAAGCAACAACAACAAACACGGTGAGTTTCCTATGGAGCATCAAGGTGACTAGTACGTAACAAAAACAAGTCTGGAAGAGGCTATGGGGTCATAAGAAGAAGCATAAATGCTGCTTTTCCAAAGTTGGGGGGCAACAGCCGAGAAGGCCCTATTTTTCTGAAAAATGTATTTTGTAAGCAACAACATATATCCAACAAACACGGTGAGTTTCCTATGGAGCATCAAGGTGACTAGTACGTAACAAAAACAAGTCTGGAAGAGGCTATGGGGTCATAAGAAGAAGCATAAATGCTGCTTTTCCAAAGTTGGGGGGCAACAGCCGAGAAGGCCCTATTTTGGCATGCCATGCCCCTCACCTCTTTCAGGGATGGCACCAGCAGAGAGAGATTACAATGGAACAGCAGTCTTGACCCTGCTGCCCACCCCCACCCCAGTACAATTCAAGAAAGCTCTGCCAAAGTGATTGGGCAGAAGTGGGCTCGCCAAGTGTAGCCTTGAATTCAAAGCCCCACTATTGCCCAATATGTGCAACATGTATCTCAACACCCCTCAATAACTTCCAACCATGGTGATGGTATAGATGGAACGCGGCTGGTAAGTGGTGTCGCCACACATGACATTTCAACTGAAGCACAGTTATTTATGTGTCAGTTCTTGCAAACAGAACGAAGACATTCTTGTTGAATTCTTCGGATAGTTTTGGGGAGAAAAAAACCAACCAACCTGGTGCTTACCTGTTTTCTTCTTTGGATTGTCTTTACATGGCCAGTAGCAACCCTTCCTTTGGGGTCCAAGTCAAATGGGAGCAGGCCATTTGGAGAACTTTAATATAAGCAACCCGAGAAATGTTGAGTGTTTCTGCTTTGGGGGGGGTGCATCTTGTTCCGTTGTGTCCCACCCAGTCATCCCCAACAGCTGCCACAGCCATTGATCCCTCTTGTGGTGTCTGTGATGTGCCCAGAGAAGGCTGGGCATGGTCATTGGGATAGTCTGGTGACTCTTGCCTGGAGAGGAAAAAGGAAATACAGTGGTGCATCGCATTATGATGTTAATTCATTCCAGCGAAATCGCTGTAGAACGAAAATATCGTAATGCGAAATTAAAAAACCCACAGAAATGCATTAAAACCCGATTAATGCATTCCGATGGGCTTGAAACTCACTGTCCAGCGAAGATCCACCCTAGCGCGGCCATTTTCGCTGCCCATGCAGCGAGGAATCCATTCCAGAAAACAGCAGGGAGCCATTTTTTTAAAACCTGGCAGCCATTTTGAAACCGCCAATCAGCTGGCCAAAAATCGTTGTTTTGCGAGAATCGGTTCCCGAAGCAGGGAACAGTTCATCGCAAAGCAAAATTCCCCCATAGGAAACATCGTTTTGTGATCGCTTTTGTGATCGCAAAAACTTCATCGTTATGTGATTTCGTTGTAAAACGGAGTGCTCGTCTTGTGAGGCACCACTGTAGGAGGATGAAGAGGAAGCCTATCCTAGAAGAGGCATCGTGTTGGATAAGAGAGCTGTGTGCCATTTCCTTGTCCCCTACAGGACTTTGCTGCCTTCAGGTGAGGGCATAGTTTCAACTACCTTCAATTTTTGTATGCTTTTGTATGCAGAATGTGGAAAGGGTTCCACCTTGTCCTTTGCCCTACTGTATCTGTATTCAGGTTGGAAGCATCTGTGGGATGGGGACCCCTTGAACTCATCCTTTAGAAAGGGCCATATGCATAGCTGTGATATGATGCTGATTATAGTGATAATAGGCGACGTGGTGGCGCTGTGGGCTAAACCGCAGAAGCCTGTGCTGCAGGGTCAGACAACCAGCAGTCGTAAGATCAAATCCACGCAATGGAGTGAGTGCCCGTCGTTTGTCCCAGCTCCCGCCAACCTAGCGGTTCGAAAGCATGCAAATGCAAGTAGATAAATAGGGACCACCTTGATGGGAAGGTAACTGTTCCGTGTCTAAGTCGCACTGGCCATGTGACCACGGAAGATTGTCTTCGGACAAACGCTGACTCTATGGCTTTTTAAACATAGAACTTCATACCAGTATTGTTTATTTATTTAACGATCCATAGGCTTCAAATAACCAAAAGCAAAGCAACGTGTCTTGCTTGTATAATGGCCCATAGCAATTAAAGCACTCTCTGGATTGTTTACAATATAATTATGCAGGTTACACATTGCCCACCCAGTGAGATGGGTACTCAGTTTAATGACCTTAGAAGAATGGAAGGCTAAGTCAACCTTGATCTGGCTACCTGAGCCTGTTGGGACTAAATTCAGGTTGTGACCAGAGTCTTGACTACAGTACTGCAGTTTAACTGCTTTGCTAACCAAGCCTACAGGGATTAAACCAGGCATAGTTCCAATAATGTTTCCTTGTCCATAACATATTATTAAGGCAGAGCACAGAGGAAAGAAACTTTGTCACAGTCCATGGTGGCACAAGATGTCCTATTGGTTAGAGGACACACCTTGCCCATGGCCTTTCCCCTCATACCTCACTCAAAGGGGTAGGACTAGGCCATGGAATCTGCTTGGACTATTGTAACACAGACAATCTTGAGGGCCCCTTGCCCACAATAGGCAGAATCCTCTTGCCATTTTATGGTTACATGAGGGAAATCATGGCAAATTGTTGCTCATTAATCAAGTGTTGACTATGTCCCTTGGTACGTTGTTAATAAGTAGCGATTTATTGCTAAGGCTTATGTGATTTACCTTACACACATGAATACTGACAGTAGGAATATGCCCAATGTCTTATTCTGAAGAAGGACCTTCTCAGAGCAAAGTATGTGGCCTGGCAAGTTCTCTGGAGTCCCTGTCCCTCAGTGCTTGGCTCTGAGGGCTCCCCAGAGTCAGTCATTGTGATGGCCACTGCAGAGACCCTAAGCCTCCAGAAGAGATGTTGATGGAGGCACAAGGGGCTGCAGGAGATACTGGAATTACTACAATGTTCTCCTCCCTTGTCCTCTGATGGATGTACTTCATCAAAATAAGTTCACTAGTTAAATACAAACATTTGTATATAAGTTGTAGAAAATAGAGGAATGAGCAAATCTGTCAATTCTGCTTTCTGCTACAGGTGAATTTTGAGAATTTTGGAAAATTCTAATCAAACATTAACTGAAACAGACTTCTCATACATTCCTGGGTATAAATAAATACACTCATTACCCTTGCATTTGAATTCTGAAAATTTTCGTAAATTCTGATCAAAAGGTAACTGAAGATTCTCACCTATCTTTGGTAAGATGATTTGGTAAGATGATTCTTCTGAGACAGTGGCCTAATTGGAATAAGTGTCTCAAACCTCCTTATTATTAACCATTTTTTGTTATTTCACTGATTATTTACTCTGAAGTCAAATTGAAAAGGATGCAGTAAGACGTGTATTTATAAAATGATGACTTCAGTTAAGAAAATGTAAAGAAAATGTAACATGATCTGCTTTATGTGTGTGTGTGTGGGGGGGGAAGATAACACTAAAGACCATGGCCTTCAAAGTTTTAAAGTAGTTCAGTCACCTAAAACCTTTTAAATTGAGTATTCTTAACTGTACTATTTTCAGAAAATGAAATCAATTTTCTGAGTGGAATTATGTTAACCAAAGATATTTCACTAGAAGAAATGATAGAATACAGACTCCGCTTCTGGATGAGAGAATTTTTGGAATATAATTTCCGCTTCGTTTTGACATCAGCCATCTGTTAATTATGATTGTTGTTGTGTCACCTGCTGAGGAAAAATGAAATATTAATGTGGGTGTCTTATGAATAGGAATGTATTTTAGACGACCGCTTACTGATGTATGCGTGCTCGACTGAAGGGTGCTGTGTAGCAATCTGTTTCTTCTAGGTCAGGAAGTGCTTCTTTATCAAGTTTCATAGGATTCCTGGGTAACCAGCTTTTCAGCTGTCTCATATTCCTCTGCAAACTGCAAAAACAATGCATTGAAAAAAACATGTTAGGTTTTCATGGCTGTTTCGCCTTTCCCCTCCACCACGTGCTATGCAGTGCTGTACAAGACTAACTTGACTAAACATTTGTCAAGTGTTCCTTTTAAGTATCTGAACACCCTTTTAACTGCTAACCAATGTTTTTGTGTAGGTTTTGACACATGTCTACTCAGAATATTCACCACTGCAGCAATGTCTGGTCTTGTCCAATTGGCAAGATACAGCAGACTTCCTATTGCTGACTGATATATTTCCTGATTTTCAAACTCTTTGTTCCCAATTTCTGACTTCTGAAAGTCCATTATCATTGGTGTTTGTACACTTTTACATTCTTGCATGGTTATATTTTACCAATATTTGTTCAAATTTCACTTTCTGACCTAACACATAACCTTTGTCTTGTTTCTGAATTTGCACCCCCAAATAATTTTGTATTGGGCCTAGGTTCTTCAAATTGAATTCCTTTTTCAACTGCTTTTCAAATAAATCTATTTGGCTCTGATCCTTTGACATAAAACATATGGCATCTACATAAGCTAACAAAATGTTTAGCTCTTTTCTGCATTCTTTCACATATAAAGATAGATCTGCCAAACTGTTTCTATATTTTAACTTTTTCAGTGTTGAATGCAGACACAGATTCCAATTATTTGCTGATTGTTTCAATCCATAAATTGTTTTGTATAATCTGTATACTATTCCTGGTTTAGAGCTTTCAAAACCATGTTCCTGCGCCATATACAATTCTTCTTGTAACTCTGCATTTAAATAAGCAGTTGTAATATCAAAATGGTTTACTATATAATTTCTAGAAGCAGCCAGAGTTAAGGCTAACCTCATTGTTTCTGCTTTTACTGTTGGCTTGTAATAGTACTAAAAATGATTTTCCCAGATAATAGTTCTGTTTGTTTATTCCTGTTAAAGTTTGTTGTTTTTTCTTCTCGTTTACCTTTCTTTTTCTTTTTCTGTTTTGTTTGTTTCTCTTGTTTTGGAGTGGGGAATGGGAGGGTACCCAGGAATATGGGTTTCTTTTTACAAATTTATGAGTATATAAGGAGCATATCATTTAACATTCATATAATGGTTTAATCAACCTGCATCACTATTAGGTTGCCTGTTAACAGAGCAGGGGGGGGCACCTGACCCCAAAATTTCACAAGGGATTTCCTGTTCCAATCACCAGTTGCCTATGAATTTTAATCTTTTTTTTAAACCGAAACACTTAGTGATGGCGATTTAACCCCTGCAACTCCATTCACTTTGTTGTTGTTTTTACTGGGTTAAAATATTTCTTCCTTTTCCTTATAACTCTAAAATATGAAGGATACTTATATCTACACAGCATAAAATTCAGGGATGTATCATTGGAATATTCCTGGGGACCATCCCATTCCCCACTCCACCCCATTCCTGTGTGGAACTGAAGAAAAGGAGGGATTCCATCTTTCTCTGCTCATCCTGTCAAACAGTGAAAACCAAAGCTTCAGAGCACATAATTAGTAAAGTGAATCTATGAATTCTCTTATGAGTCATGACTTCATTATTCTCAGAAACAACTTCATTATCCTCCAAAACAAGAGAAACAAACAAACAAAAAAGAAAAAGAAAGATAAAAGAGAAGAAAAAACAACACACTCTAACAGGAATAAACAAACGGAACCATTAAGTGGGAAAATCATTTTTAGTACTATTACAAGACTGTAGATCTGGATGTTCTAGATGTTGAGTGGAAAATGTTAATTGACATATCATAACACAAAGGCATGTGAATATTATATGCACACATTATGCGATTGAAAGCAAGTACATGCATGATTCAGGAGAGGAAATAAGTTGTAAAATATTTAAGGCCCCTGCCAGTAATATATGCAAAGTTATTTTAAAATTATGCATCTATCTTCCACCAAATCTAAAATATGTTTAACATATGTTAAGCATACTAAATATATTCTCAATCATAATAGGCCTTCTGTATTTGGAGGTCCTAGGAAAGTAGTAATAATAAATTTAGCTATTTTCATTATATTCAGTGAAAATAGCAACCACACAGTATTATTCGCTCTGTGGGGGACGGTTGAGAATTTTCTATCTTTTAAATTTCAGGGTATCTGAAATGCTTCTTTTGCTTTCAGCCATTTTTTGGTATGGAATAATGACAAATGAAACAATCGTCTTTTGAATGCAACAACTGAAATCTGTTACGTTACAGCATTTGTTTAATGAAATATGAAGAAAATGCAGTAGAACTTCAATAATTCTAACTATGAATCAAAATCTATAGAAAAAAACACATGTAAGAGAGGCACAAAAAATGAAAGACAGCAATTCTCTTTTGGAATTTTACTGTGATGTCTGGGAACACATCCAATAATTGAATGAATGTAAGGTGGGTTTATAATGAAATACCCCATCACAGCATAAATTGACACCTTGCTCTATTTCTTCCCACACTTTTGCTCCCCCCCCCTCTTATGCATCATGGAGCAGATGCCTTGGATCACAACTCAGCTGAATAGAAATTACCAGCATCTAGGACTAATGTAGTAAGGCATACCATACTGTTAAATGGCATGTGGTATACACAGAAGTCCTCAGAGTCACCTCTGGTCATGTTCAGCTTTAGTGTTCTTACAGAAAAAGGGCTTGACAAGACCTTGGATGGAATCCTCAGAACTGCAAGCAGAAAGAAGTTGATTGACAAGGATCTCCTTGCCCCCCCTTCCCTTGCACGTCTGTGGTGGATTACATTCTGTCTAGACTCATGTGGGATTAGGTTCAGAGACAACAATGAGATATGGAGAAACTGGATAAAAATGGGCAGAGGCACATTATGTGAGTAGAGTTCTCTTTGTAAAAGGTGCCTCTAACCCATGAGGCATCTGACTGCATCCATTCAGGTGAGGCCCACAATCTTCCAGGGAAGCTTTTCAGAGAGTTTCTAGAACAGTAAGGACAGTGAAAAGGAGGAGGCTACAGAAAGGTATTTTCTGCAAGTTCTGTTCCACTCATAGCTCAGGACCAACATTCTCATGGACACCAAGAAGTGGCTCCTGGATCAACATGGGGAGCTGCTTTACCCTCAAATTTCAAGGAGCACCCTCTTCTCCAGTCACGAGTCAAACTATATAGACCCTCCGCTTCTTGTCCTCATATGAACTCTTAGCATAGATCCTCCTATCAAAACGCTACCAATTTCAGACAAGCAGGTATTTGGGTTTTGGACTACAACCTTCAGAATACCAAACTCATGGCAAGTTGGCACTATGAGAACAATATCCAACACCAAAAAAACTCTCCACCTCTGCTTATTTTGTGTGAAAAATTATCACATCTCTAAAATTAAAAACAAAAACAAAGCAACATTCAACTGAATCCATTGATCAAATCAATCTGATACCAAATTAGGATAAATTTACAACTGTCAGGATGCAATTGACTTAAGTGAGTATCTTTCAAAATTAAAAGCTATGCAGCACCCACCAACCTGCCCATCGTTTTGCTCCTCCAGTCAGTGTAGTAACATTTTTTCCTGCAAGAACAACACAAATTATCTGAGAACAGTTTTGTACTGAGCAAAAGGAAGCACACACACACAAACATTGGAGCGTAGCTGATTTGTAAAATGGACCTTTATAAAAGGAAGTTGCCAGAAAGCATCATTTAAAAGAGGAGGAGATATTTTTAAAAACTGTTAACTGAGAAATTCCTGCATGAAAATAGATTAAATATTAATGACGTGGATAAAGATTGAACTACTTTAAATTAAACATTTAGCATGCATTAAATTGTTATGCATTACAGAACCCTGGAGACAACACATCTTTTCCTTTTCAGTTTGCATTAATTTTTTTTAATAGTGTGAAGAGTGTTGCCATTCTATCAGCTGATCTTTTGCACACATATCACATTCAGATACCTGGGTGCAGGAGCTGAAACTGATAACCTTCTGACTCTTTTTGTTTGTTTGGTTTTTTTTTTGTTCCTTAAGTGAACCCCGTAAGTCTAGGTGAAAAAGTCACACATTTTTTCCTGAAATGCTTACACAAAGTATCAACAAAATAGTTACTCTGTAAATTCACTACACAAAGGTATCCTGTAATGATGGATGGATAGGAGACATAGTCCCAACTGTCATACCCAGACACATTTATGAACAGCAGAACTGAGTAAGGAGATTCTTTTTTATGTTGGGAAGGAAGGGGGTGATGATTCTCTCCTTTTGCCATCTTTTGTGTCAATTATCACAGCAATGAAAAAGAACAGCGCTCTTCCTTGCAGTAAGAAGCTTTGATGGAAACTGAAGCATGGCATGCCACCTTGACTTGACAAGTAACAGCTCCCATGGCTTAATTTAATTTTTGTGTATGTCCTAGTTCTCACTGTTCTGACAGAGAACACAAGGCAGCTAACATAAATTCTTCAGCATAACTTTAATACTGCAAGTGCATCGTCATCATTTGCCATCTTAGCCCATCAAATCAGCACATCATTGTAAAGAAGTAAGGAGTTGGCCACAGGTATCTATAAATACAGGGGTCCAGCAGTAGTCTGAATGTCACAGAATAGCCAAACCCCTATTATTTACCTCAGTAAATTGCACTGGATTAGGCCCAGATATTTGGTGAGTCAACTCTGTCATATGCTTCATGGATTCATTGGGACTACTCTAATGTGATTTAATTCACTAAGCAACAGGATACTGGCCATTGACTTAGAATTAGCACTGTGCATTAGATTTGAACAAATCACAAATTCTGAACCAAACTGATTTCTTATTTTAAAAGCAAATTTTAAAGATGCCTAGTACACAAACTCTTGAAGCCAGCTGTCTGAAATTTAGCAGGTGCGCCTCTCTCTTTTAGGTTTTACCATGCCTCCAAATTCAATACAGAAACAGAGTTACAATTAGGTTGGTTTTCCAGAGCACAGAGCATGATGGCCTTATAAACTTACAAACTGAGTTGGATCTGTGGCAGAACTCCTGACTAAATCAGAATATATTCAGGAGTAGCCCCAAACTAGCTAAAAAATTCAATTGGGGGACCAGAACACTGACCCTAAACAGGACTATTTCTATTGCTGCTTTGGAATCTTGATCCTGAAGGACTTCCAAGCTAGCTAGAAACCACCTGCTTGGCATATTAATCACTTTCAACATGAAGAAGGGTTCTACTAGCTAGATAGAGCAGAGAGCCACATTGCTAGCCCTGTAAAACATTTTCCCTGGATCCCCAATATCCACACATAGTCACATCGACACATGTAGGATATAGGATTCTGTAGAACTCTAATTTTTTAAGGGTTCCAGATTACATGGAAGCCTATGGCCATAAGATTTAACAGGTTCTAGAGGTCCATGTCCAGTGAATGAATGTCAGGGTTTAGTAGTCTGGGACGATGCAACACCATGTGCAGTGTCAAAGGCATGGTTTACCTGACCCTTCCAATCGTGAAACCCCTGTACCGAAATATTTTCAGGGGTAACAGCTCCCAGGATGCTTCATTTTACAGCCATTCACTTGATAATTAGCACATACCTATTATCCTTTAAAAACCCCTCAAGATTACCTACAAATATTTTAAGATTACTCAGCAGAATAAAAACATTTTTTTGCAAGAATAGCCCAGTTCAGACTTTATTATCAACATGGACAGAGAGAGGCAAATAGCCATGCCCCTTCTCTGCTTTATTTGTTCACATTAACGGTGAAGTATGAAGGGAAGGATCCTGGTTGTGTGTAGGTTGTATACAGGAGTAAGAAAATAGATTCTCTGGGCAGCAATGGACAACCTATGGCATGTGTGTCATAGCTGGCAGCAGAGCCCTCTCTGCAGACACGCAAGCCATAAGTTGCCGGATTGCTACCAAACCTGAGAAGTCAGCTGCAGCCACGGTGCTAGCACCCCAACAGGTGGCGGGCCAGGATCCAGAGCAGCTGGCGCTGGCAGGGGTTGGGGATCTGGAGGCACCTCCGTGCCCAGGATTCCCCCTTCCGCTGCCACTTCCACTCCCGCCACCCGCTGCCCACTGGGTTGTTGTTGTTGATTTTAAGTTTGGGCATTCAGGCTCAAAAAGGTTAGCCATCACTGCTCTAGGGCACACTTTCTTAACCTGTGGTCTGTGGACCCCCAGGGGTCCACAATGTCCTCACAGGGGGTCCACGAAGGCTTGAAGAAACATTGCGATATTTTGCACTTAAAAGAGAGAGAACGTGTGAATGAAAGAAAGCAAGAAAGAAAAGGAAACATAGAAAAACATCTTAATTTCCCTTGCTTGTTTGTGTAAAACCTTACCACCTCCATTAAAAACAAACAAAAGTAAAAACTGGCTATAAAAATAACTGATAGCAAATAGCTGTTTGATATTTCTGCACATGGTGAGAACATACAAGTGAATGACACTGAGCAGCTGAGTGGCAGCACATGACATTTCTTGCTATTGAGCAGACAGTCAGAAGCCTCAGGAAGAGAGAGAGAGTCGGAGTTAGTCAGTGTCAGTGTGAATGAGTGTTCAGGCAGACTTTGTGATCATGTTTCTTCTTTGATTTCTGCTAGTAAAGCCATTTAGTTATTGTCGGGTAAAGCGACTTTTCCATATAATCTCAGTGAATTTCATAGCAATATGTTTTGGCTGAGCCTCAGAATGGATCACTGGCTGTGTTTGAAATGTAAATGCTGTTGATGAGGGTGCATCCTGTTCAAAGCAAAATGAAGCTTCTTCCAGTCATCTTTAAAAGTGCCACTATTTTAGCAAGGAATGTATGTTGATGAGACCTTCCACGAGAAACTTTAAATAAATTACAGTATTTGATGCTTTTTAGGGTTTAAAATCTTGAGTTAAGTCTTGGTAGTCCATGACAAAAAAGATTTTTGAAGAGGGTCTGTGGTACATAACCGTTGCTCTAGGGTTCTTGCCTGTGTGGAGCCTGCATCCAAGTAGGAACCTATATTTAATAGATGGGTTGCTACTTCTTATTATTTGTGTTGGCAGCAGCAAAGTTAACAACTGAATAGGCCTTTTATCTTTGATATTTCTGCACACGGTGAGAACATACAAGTGAATGACACTGAGCAGCGGAGTGGCAGCACATGACATTTCTTGCTATTGAGCAGACAGTCAGAAGCCTCATGTTCTGTCATGTTTTAAAAGCAGGGCTGAGGTTTCTTTTTTCCCCCATTTTTTTGTAGAATGAAGAGCCTGTACTTATTTGCCCCTTCTCCCCACAGAGCTGAGAGGGATTGGTGTAGCTTTCCCATTATAACTTTGCAAAAACTCTGCGAGATAGATTATTCTGAGAGGAAAGCTAGCCAAAAACGGCACAATAAGCTTTGATGCTTCTCAAGAGACAGGGCAATTTTTAAAGCATAAAAACCTGCAGTATTAGTCACATAAGTGTTGTATTTTCTTCTGCTCAGATGCAAGGAACAACTCATATTATTCAATCATTCTACGTAAACCCTCAAAGCAGGAAAGAATGCTCAAAATAATATCTTTTATTAAACACATTAATCGTGAATTTCTTTGCTCTTCCTTTATAAAGAATCCCCCTTTTTGAAGTCAGCATGATAAAAACTGGCCTGTTTACACAAATGCTAAGTAATGGCCATTAAAATCACTCCTTGAAATTAATTAGCTTCCCTTCCTTAAAACTGTTGGTTCATGGCTGTTGGTTTGATCCATCAGCCACTTAATTCTGGAAGAGTCACATTCATATACTCCTCTAGGGTAAATTAAATAGAGCTTGAGCCTAACAAACAAGCTTTGCTCCTTCAGGATTCATGTGGACTACACTGGGTGCAACAAGGGGGAGAATGTAGTCAATTGGCCTATTTAAAAGTTTCATTAGCTAAATAGAGCCAGCTTTGAAAAGGATGACTTCATTCAGCCAACTGAATGTTGATTGTTTCGTCCTACATTCATCTCCATTCAAATGATACTCAAATGGAGATTGTACACTAACGTTTTGCAGGGTATATATGTAGCTACAAACTTTTGACGTGAGAGGGAATTATGGGAAACAAGGTGAAACTCATCTTCCTGTCTCCCTTGCTAACCATCTCATCTTCAATACCTTAAATTAAGCCTCAAGATCTCATACAGAAATCTTTTGAAATGTGACACAAGAATTTACAGAGATCATTACTAATAAAGAATAGACTATTTGTCTTTGCCATTGCATTTCTTTTCACTTGGAAAGTTACAGTTAAATCAAATAGACAGATAGACAGATAGATAGACAGATAGATAGAACGATAGATAGAATGATAGAACGATAGAACGATAGATAGAACGATAGATAGTTACTGTTAAATCAGATAGATAGATAGATAGATAGATAGATAGATAGATAGATAGATAGATAGATAGATAGATAGATAGATAGATAGATAGATAGATAGATAGATAGATCGATAGATCGATAGATCGATAGATCGATAGATAGATAGATAGATATAAGGATGTGCTGAATCTGATTAAAATTAATGCAAGTGCAACATTCATATTTCTTGAAAATATCTTCTTCAGAACATTAGGAAAATATAAGTATACAAAAACATTGTTTTTGAAGTCAAGCCTGTTTGCTTAATACATTTCTAAAAATAAAGAATAAAAATGAGACCAAGAATGACATTACCTGAAAGGCATCCTGATGTTCATTCTTTCAGCATATTTGCATAGCGTGTCCCAAGGACAGTGAATTTTAACAAACATAATATCACTATTTGTAATGGCTGGCTGCAAAAGGTAACAAAATAAGCAGTCATTACCATTCCAGATCTAGGCAGTTTCTTGGCATACTTTAAAGTAGATTCCTATTGATTACTGAAATTCCAGCTTTTGCTAGGACTCTCCTTACTTTGCTGTAGGATGTCTGAATGACACATACATTTCACAGGAAGAGGTCAAATGTCCTTTCTAAAAGCAGCCCATCACAGTTCTGAGGACACAATTCAGTTATGATAAACACTGCCTCCCTCTCTTTTCATGTGGTGTCTACTCAGGGTATTTTGGAAACAACCAGAAACTATTTCCATATTATTATTTTTATGGTTGCACTTTCCCCAGCGTCTACTGTCAAGGGAATTCCTCAAGAATATACAGACAGATCCTTGGTCCTTTATCAAATATAAGGGGAGAGTGGGTACTTAGCTCTACCCCTTCTGTGGTCATAAAAATATCAGAGGAAAGAACTATTACCACCTTCCACAACATTTATGAGTGTTTTCCTCATTTTAATTTTGCCACACACATCATCTATGGGGGAGTAATTGTGACTTTCTGCGTAGGAGGTATGTCTGCCCCTGCAGCCTTGAAGGTATAGGTTTTTGACTGGAATTCTTTCCTCCAGGAAAAGACCACCTACTAGAGGAAATAGCCTCATGACACAGTGGTTAAGCTTCAGTAATGCAGCCAAAATTCTGCTCACAACCCAGGTTCAATCCCAGATACCTGTCTTGAGGTTCAGTCAGACTTACATCCTTCTGAGGTCAGCAAATTAAGTTCTTAGCTCCCAGAGCAGGGGCAATGTGTAGCCTACATAGCTAAGTTGTAAACCACCCAGAGTGTGCTTTAAACTCTAGCCTTATACAAGCAGCACACTTTTTCGTGCATTCTGTGATAGGACAGATATCTAAAGATCTAGAGTCCTCATAGAAGTTTTGATTCCCTTGCCAGTATTTATTTTATTCATTTATTTTATTTATACCTCGCCCACCTGGTCTTGCGACCACTCTAGGCAACTAAAAATGATGGTCTTGTTGCCCAACCACTGAATCAAAAAATTGCAACCCACCTCCCATAAAAGTCAGTAAAAGTTGTGCCTGCACTGTCTGACAAAAGATAGCTTTGGAAGATGGGTTTGTTCTCTCTGCTTAAGGACCCCTTTGCACAGTCACTGCAGAAACATACCTCTCTTTCTAACATTAATCCTTCTGCCCGCAGATTCTTTTCAAAAGTGCTTCTTTTCTCTATTTGTGGGCTAGACTTTTTATAAACTAAAATGTAGTCTATACGCTTTTTTCCATCCTTGAAGAAGAGACCTGAAGTTGCCAGGGCACTCATATCATTCTGAAAGAAAAAAAGGGGGAAAAGAAATATCAAACTTGACATCTAGTCTAAAGAAAATGAGTACCACATTAGCCTGAATTTGGCAGGTGGTGAACTGAGACAGAAGAAGGGCAGCTATACAGCTATTTAGGCATTCTACATAAGTGTTAGCTAAACATATAAAAAGGGGAGCACTTCTCCTTTCACTTTACTTAGTCAAAAATCAAGGAGTCTAAAGTGGTGAATGTCCTGTATGGAGTGGGGATTGTGGTAAATCTTGATTATCCAAAGTTCTGCCTTACAAGGAGAATATCCACATGTAAAGGAAGCTTTTTTCCTTCAGACTCATCATGACCAGAGATGAGAGGGATTTCCCACTCCTCACCTGCCTAGTTAATTATAATAGAGAATGTGTGACTAGCCCTACATCTTTCAGACACTTTGGTGATTTCAGCCAGCACTGATCCAGGGAAAAACCTAAATTCTTCCAAAATTTATGTTTGGAATTTAAAATTACAGTCCTTCAGATTTAGAATTTTAAACATTCAAAATTTCAGGTTATCTAGAACTCCATTACAGTTATTATGAATATTATATAGCCATTATTTTCCCCATAAAAAACAAGGAAAAACACTGGGGTTTCTGGGAGTTGCAGTTCAAAAACATCCGAGTAACAAAGGTTAAGAACCACTGATCTAGAACTCCATTACAGTTAATATGAATATTATATAGCCATTATTTTCCCCATAAAAAACACAAACAGGAAAAACATTTTTGCATGATTTCCATGTGTTGTCTGACACCTTCCCAGCGATTGTGCAACAACAACAAAAATGTGTACATCAACAGTCAACAGTGCCAAGGTACTAGGAAATAATTGTAATAGGCATACTGATTGAACCATGAACAGTAGGAATGCCAGCAGGAAATACTAGTAGCATTGGGGAAGCAGAAGACAGGTCACACTGGGGAATAGGCCAATTCCCTGGGTAGCACTGGTAGACATATTAGAGCAGCTGTGATGTGGACTGTGCCAACAGCATGGGGCACAATACAGTCGAGTGACTGAACACAGTCTTGGAGTAGCAGATGGAAGAATGAAAGATGAAAAAGAAGGGAGCAGCAGACTGAAGCATGGCACCCTTAGTACTGTGAACAGAGTGTGCCATTCTCTCTTACTTAAAGGGAACTTCAGGGAAGTCCAGCAATGGTAGATTGACCTGAAGGAAAATATAGTGGTGCCTCGCAAGACAAATTTAATTCGTTCTGTGGTTAATGTTGTCTTGTGAAAAATTCTTCTTGCGAAATGCGTTTTCCCATCGGAATACATTTAAATCTAATTAATGTGTTCCTATGGCCAAAAAAAGTCAGAACAAAGTCAAATTTGGTTTACAAAGGCTTTATTAAGTGCTCTTTAAAGCCATACATATTGTGCAGATGATTTAAAAATTTCAATCAAAAAACTTTAACTTTTTAAACATCATAGAAAAACATTTAAAAATCAGCAAACATAAGGCAGGAGCAAAAAACGGAAAACATTTGTCTTGTGAAGCACGGCCATAGGCACATTTGTCTTGCGAGTCATCAACCCCATTGCCAAAACCATTTGTCTTGCGAGTTTTTGTCCTGCGAGGCATTTGTCTTGCGAGGCGCTACTGTATGTTTTTCTACAGACCCAGGTTCCACGTGTGAGCAGTGTGGACTGACAATGTCCCTTGCCTGAGATTACATTCTCTTACTGGTTGGTGGGCAAGACAGCTGTTCTACTGGCACCTTGACCAGACCTCCCCAAACAAACTCCTTCTCAGCCCAGTAAGACAAGGGGTCGGTCTTTTTTGGTTTCCTGAATATACATGCCTCTACCTCTGCCTCTGCCATGTCCTTCCTCTGGGATGATGACTCTGAAGAATAGACCCCTTCCATGCTTTCACAAAGATTGCCCTTGCCCTGTTGTTGCAGGGGTGATGGAATTGGGCTTCAGAATACAACTGCTGGTACTGCTGTTTGGGGTACTGTGAACATTGCTAGTTTCTTATGCTTGCTACCATTCACAATATATACTGAAGTGTGTGTGTGTATGTGTGCGTGCGTGTGTGTGCGTGCGCGCACACACACAAACACACACAAACACACACACTTATAAGACTGGCTAACAAATGGTGCTATTTAAGCAAAATGTTTTGGCTTCCTCCTTCTTCAGTTGCTCTGATAAACATGTATATATATCTTAGTGATTAGCTGCATCTCTCACAGGCACCCAGAAAAATCTTGATTGAAGTGCTTTTTAAGTCATTCTCTCTCCCCCCCTCCCTCTCTCAGCTTATTTCTCACATCCATCTTCCATCCCCTTATGTGGCATATCTTAGCCTTTGCTTTCACACCACAACCAAAGTACACAGTTTATCAACATAGGTAGAAAGATCCAGTTTATCAAATGAGCACAGTGAAGCCTGTGAGGCATACCAAATGGCGGTGACTGTCCAGAATATTAGAATACTGCAGAGGAACAATCAGATCAGATTCTATCCTTCATCCATGCATACGCTCAAAGATTTCCTGGTCTATAAATAATTTATGCATCTTGTAAGATAACAATAATTCCTGGTCTTCCATAAAGTGATGGAGGAGAAAGAACTGTCCCAGAAGGACACAACAATTCAAAACATACAACACTGTTGAAGCATACAATAGAACTTGCATGCATCTAGTGGCTATCCAGCAAGGAAACCCAAAATGTTTTAGTCCCCAGATGAGATCTGAGTCCAGACTGGAATGGGTTCAAATTTTAGCCCAGCCAAGAAAGCTTAGAGGTGCATGTGCAGGATGCAGGGAGTAACGTTAGGACAAACAAGGACACTGATTCCACACCTCTTGTGCAAGACCTGTTTGCTGTTGATTTGACTCCTATAAAGCTTGGTTGCAAATTCTTTCAACCTTTAGACTGCAACATGTCAGGAAGCATCAGACACAATACCCACCATGAATAAATCCTCATTTTAATAACAGGATCTGTCCTACTTATACAGGAGAGAGTGAGCTATTGTTTGCACAAGCCCTATTTGTATATTTTACTGTTACTGTATGTGGAATGACATAAAGGTTTTTGCACCACCCTGATTGCTTGAAGTGATGTGTATAAAGCACATTGCATTTGCAGAACAGGTTCTGATAATTTTTTATATCAATAATTCTCTTTGCCCTTCCCAGTCTCATCACTTATCAGTGGCTCATAGCCTTCATCTCTAGAAGGAGAGTACAGCTGGGCCATTTAACATTGAGTCAGAAGGAAACCAATTTAAAGCAATAGATCTCAGACTTTCATATCTTAACCTCCTACCAATTGCTATCAAAGGGCCCAAGTCCCACCATGATCTAAAACTCCTGTTTTCCAAATAATGACATACATTAAGTCATTATATCTATAATGATATAGTCATTATATCTATAATGATTATAGATATAATGACTATATATATCTATAATATATATCTCATATCTATAATATTCAGTAAGCTGGCAGGTGGTGGGGATAGGACATTAGGAGGAACAGCACCTAGAGACATCACTAGAATGCCAAAAATATTACAAATGCATAGAAGGCAGCACACTGCATTTTCAGGAGGAGATCGGGATTGAAGGAGAGTTCTAAGCAATTAGTACACCTAGACTATGTCTGAAATCTACCAAGAGCACATGTATCACTGACTGAGAATGTTCCTGTCTTAACATTTTGGATCACAGCAGGCAAAAACTAGAAGACATGCTCAGAATTCGTACTTTCATTGACATTAAGTGGAAGTTAAAGTGACAATGCTAACAGCACTGAGCACTATGGATTTACTTTTCAGGTAAGTCTAAATGATTCTTACTGGGCAGACTGAAACTAGTGTAGGCCCACCTTTGCTCCTTCACTGCTACTACTGCATATCAGTGATGCATCAAGCTCTTTGCCATGTGCCATCTTTATACTCACCATCTCTTTTTTTTCTCTGTGAAATTTAAGGTTTGATGCTTTCCTCTACCCTCTATCCACTTCACATGAATGTTATGAAATAAAAGGATTTGCTGGTAGTTCAGCTTACTTTCTGATCTTTCCAAATTGCCTGAAATAGCTCCTTCTCATTTCTTTAACTAACCTCTTTCCCTCTTCAAAAGCACCAAAATGCTACATTCAACTCAGAAAGTTCATCCGGTGGTCTACTGCACCTCTCACCACAATAAATCATGGTTTGGTGAGCTATGTGATAACAGTATGCCATTTTTCTAATGACGGTTTAATGCTCTGGATAATCATAGCATATTTTATACATCACCATGTCAGCCAATATTCTTTGTGTGATAATTGTACAGTTGTCATTCATTGTTGCATATTTTCATTCAGAAAGATCACATTTTCCAAGGGCTCCAACAACAACCCAGATAATGTGGTTGCTGACCTTGAGCCAGACATCCTGGAGAGTGAAGTCAAGTGGGCCTTAGAAAGCTTGGCTAACAACAAGGCCAGTGGAGGTGATGACATTCCAGTTGAACTATTTAAAATCTTAAAAGATGATGCTGTTAAGGTGCTACATTCAATATGCCAGCAAGTTTGGAAAACTCAACAGTGGCCAGAGGACAGGAAAAGATCAGTCTACATCCCAATCCCAAAGAAGGGCAGTGCCAAAGAATGCTCCAACTACTGTACAATTGCACTCATTTCCCACGCTAGCAAGGTTATGCTCAAAATCCTCCAAGGTAGGCTTCAGCAGTATGTGGACCGAGAACTCCCTGAAGTACAAGCTGGATTCCAAAGGGGCAGAGGAACTAGAGACCAAATTGCAAACATGCACTGGATTATAGAGAAAGCCAGAGAATTCCAGAAAAACATCTACCTCTGCTTCATTGACTATGCAAAAGCCTTTGACTGTGTGGAGCACAGCAAACTATGGCAAGTCCTTAAAGAAATGGGAGTGCCTCACCACCTTATCTGTCTCCTGAGAAACTTATACGTGGGACAAGAAGCAACAGTTAGAACTGGATAT